AAAAATATACACTAAAAATGGCCAAACACATTAACCACTGATATCATATAACTTATAAAGAGTGTCAGACAATGCATAATTTCAAGCTCGAGCGTAAAAAATGAAGAAAACTGCTGGCATTTGAGTCCGTACACCAGGAACACAAGTACGACATGGTTGCCTAGGTTTTCTTTCCTGATTGTCGAGTCTTCGGAATGTGTTTTGTATAATTATTGTTGTTTTCCCCGAGGCGAAGACAAGCTGAAGGACCATGAAGCTAAATGGCAGTTCCATGCATGGGCTGAGTGAAAGAAAATATCTCTAAGCCTAAAATAAAACCTAATAAAAACACCTCTTTGTGTGTTTGTTAATTTTACATATGTTTGTCATGACAGTATGTTTGTAAATATCTAGAAAAATCCCGTCTTTCGTTGATAATTTCGATTGTTTGGAATGTCTGTCGACCGTGTCCTAAAAATATGTTTGGAATGTTGATCCTCGTTGGTTTCTCAATACTGAGGAAGGGCGTCGATCAACACAATCAGCCGAGACAGGACACACATTGACCGTAATTCATGAATTATGGGCTGAAACCCCAAATAATTACACAAGTATTATTATTATATTTTTATTTTATTATACATCACAAAACTACAAAAGAGCTAGAGTTGTTCGCGGTGAAACAGCCGCCTTGAAAACGATGCAACTTCAACTGGCCATTTCGTACCTTGAAATAACAAAATAATAAAAATTCGAAGAGCATCGGGGAAAATATTAATAATCATTCTTATTAATCGCTTGCTTTATTTTATTCGAATCCATGAAATTCACGAGTTTTTTGACATTTGTTGGCAACTTCCGCGCTAAAAAAGATTGAAAATGTAGGTGTGGTTCTTTTTCGAGGTCCTGTTGATAATACGGACAAATATGGTTCTGTGACCCAGGTCGGGCTCCGATCATGTGACTTTCAGCCAATCAATGATGTTTTAACAAACATATTTGAGGCTAATTGAAGGGTCGTCGTACCATCCAATCTCCGGCGTCTATTCACAAAGGTTTTTTATGTGCTGTGACAGGCTTTAAAATTATTCGCTGAAAAACATCGGTATATTTTGACAAACAGATGGAATTGACCTCATTTCAAAAAGAAAATATTAGGCTGAGATACGACGAATCAGTTTTCTCTGCAAGTTGTGAAATAAAGTAAACCAGAGTAGGGTCGATAATTTTCAGCTCTGAAGGACTTCCATGTGAATCCTGAGTTTCGAATTGTTCATCGACTGGGCACCAAAATATTGATGGCTATAACTAAATTTGACATTTTTTTTTTAAGCCCAATAAATTATTCATACATGTCAAGCTCTGTTCTATTTTTTCAGGGCATGTGGCCGTTTTTAGTCGAACATTTTTTTGTGGGAACACTTTTACGGTACGTATACGGTATAGACCGAACTCATTCAATGATCTTGACTTAATTTTGAGAACTGAATGTCAAATTTTACTAGACCGACCGCCTGTGGACCGACGTGGATTTGGTATCGTTATTTATAACTTTTCCTCGTTTCCCTGCTCTGTCAAAAGGAGTTACCTATGCTTATTTCATGTAACTGTCTCATTAAAATAAAATAAAATATTACATCTAGAACAAGCACCCAAAACACGTAACAAGAGGTCCCAGTTCAGTTGCATTCACGATACAAGTGTCATAGAACAATTAGATTTGAAGTGTTGCTCAGAATTTAATAATAGTTAATACCAGTTGTATGTTCACTCTTCACTATCAAAACCACCATTTCGACCACTCATGTGCCAGTGATCAGTGTTTGGGCGAGCGGTCGGTGTTTTCAATGAGAGAGCGAGCGAAAAAAACGCGATTCAAATGAGGTCGGTTTCCGGTCGGACAAGATTTTGATAGTGATAGATCCATCCCCAATTGACCCAACTTTATGGATTTTTTTCTACAATTTGTTTGTTAACTTTGGATACCAATTTTGAACACACCTTTTGAAATTGTAAATGAAGAAACAAATACGTTTCAAATTTAATCTATAATGTTATTAATACAATATATATAATGCATGTCATACTGCTTGCACCCGTGCGCTCGTGCACAGCTGTTATCCAGCTGTTAAGAGAAACGTGTTAGCTGATGTATCATTACCGTCAATAAAGTAACGCATGCATGGGGACTAGGTCGATTTCAAACTGATAGCTTACTCTTTTTAAAACTGAATAGCAAATTGTAACACTTTGTATTTATTACAGTAATCCTAATCGTAGTTCTGCAAGTAATGAAGATAACAACGATGACTGGCCATTGTTTACAGTGCCTGGTTTAGCGTATAAACAGCTCTCATTATCAAGGGAGAATAGTAACGCATTGAAAGCAAGAGAATGTACATTCTGGAATGAATTTGAAACAAAGCTTCAGAAATCTGGTAAGTTTGTATCATACGAGGTATATTTCAATCATATAAAACTGCAACACACCAGATTCCACCCCTAAACCACAGCTAAGCACTTCACTATCGTACGCAGACGCGAAACGCAACACCTCACATCTCACACTTACTGCAATAATAATAATAATAATAATAATAATAATAATAATAATAATAATAATAATA